ATGTCCCACGTTGAAGTGTCCCTGAGCAAGACACTTAACTCCTGATTGCTCCCCCGACTAAATGTAAAAGCCACGTTAAAAAATGCAACATAAGTTGCTTTGGACAAAATTGTCAGCTAAATGATTAATGATTTAGGTAGAAGTGCTCATCTAGTGGCAGAAACTATAATGTAAGTAGAAATGTTTAGTTCAACATTCTGTCACAATGTGATGTTAAAACCTGGGGACGGATGCTGATTATCCGATTTCTCCCAATTTTCTCCCCAAAGAGGGTTTTTGGGGAGTTTTTTCTCCTGTCAGGTAGTTGATGAGCAACTGAATGTAAGACAGCCGATTGAGACAAACGTCTTGAGTGTTGGACCACATGAACTGTATTAGATCTCATGATGAACGGTGATCATTAATGATGGGTTGTAATTAAAGTGTACTAGTTATAAGATGAAGACAAACTATGGATGCTTTGTTAAATTCACTCATTGAGGCATAAAGCCAAACGTATCTACGTTGAACGTATTGGAATGTGAGGGACAGATGGACAGAGAAGGTCTCAGGTTACAGCTGCAGATTCACACCTTCATGTGAAGGGGACAGTCCATGAGGGGACACTTTGAAGAAGACATGACATTCAAATGCACCCAAGAAGACACATCAGGAGTTTTCAAAGGACCAAAGGAAAAGACTGTTAGAATTCTCCTGCAGCCGCTTTGACTAAAGTCACTTTAGACATGAGGATTCTCTATTTTGTGAAATATTTCACTGTTTGTTTTGTATTTCACTTTGTAACTGGATTCCTTTTCACTTTGTTTAGTTATTAAATACTTTTTGATTTCTAAATTTGAGCAAGTTGACTCTTGTGATTTATTGTTTCTGGCGAGAACAAAGGAGTGAGGCCTCCATCGAGGGTCCACAACGAAACGTATTATTAGCTCACAGACGCCGTCTTTTCTCACATTGTCATCTGTGAAATACACAAATCTGTTGTTAAAGTTGTCAAGATTCTCCTGACTTTGAGTTCTAAAAACTGTACTTTAAATTATGTATTAAAATGAGATAATTTAACGGAAACAAAGGAATCAAAGATGTCTGAATTGAAACGTTTATTCAAACCACACAAATGTGGTGACCCACAAGTAACGCTGGGGAGACATTCACTAGGGGACTGTACCTTTAAGGGAAAGTTTTGGATGTGAGGTTAACGTGCTGTCTGCAGTAGTTCTCACATGTTGTTCTGAGTGTTGAAGTGGAGAGTAAAGTTGACTCGCTGACACGCATCTCCGTCTCCTGTCTCGTCACTTTACACCCTCCACATTTTGGTGACCCCGACGCTTGAACACGGCTGATCATGTCGAACAACGACGGTGGTGAGAATGCTGCTGCGGTGCCGGCCGTTGTTAGCGGTGCGGCTAATGTCGGCGCTATCTACGCAGCCACCATCAAGCTACCGGACTTTTGGCAGCGCAACCCGCGGCCGTGGTTTCAGCACATCGAGGCTCAGTTCCAGCTGAGAGGAATTACGCAGGATGTTACGAAGTATTTCCACGTTGTTTCGGCCTTGGATGCCTCGACAACGGCCAGGGCTATGGCGCTGTTGGAGGCTCCTCCAGCTAACGGGAAGTACGACGCGCTCAAAACATTCCTGTTAAAACTCTTTGAACTGTCGGAGCTGGAGAAAGCGGACCGTCTGCTGTCCCTGAATGGGCTTGGTGACGGCAAGCCGTCCGAGTTGATGGAGAGGATGCTGGCTGTGCTGGGCGCGGCGGATCCCTCGTTCCTCTTCGCCCACATCTTCCTGCGGCAGCTTCCGGCGCCCGTGCGCACCGCGCTGGCCTGCTCCGCCCTCACTTCCTCCATGGACTATCGGGCGCTGGCGTTGGAGGCACTATGAAGTCCCTGCAGGAGTTCCTGGGCATGGTGAATTTCTACAACCGTTTCCTTCCCCATGCGGCTCAACTCATGCGACCCTTGTATGACGCCTTGCGGGGTCAGAGGCCGGCGGACGTGTTGGATTGGTCCGCAGGGATGGCTGCTGCTTTTGACGCTGCCAAAACCGCGCTGGCCAACGCTGCTCTGTTGGCACATCCGTCTCCTACCGCCCCAGTTGCTCTTACTACAGACGCCTCGGATTACGCGGTGGGGGCTGTGTGTGAACAGTGGGTAGGCGGAGCCTGGCAGCCGCTGGCCTTTTTCAGCAGGAAGCTCCGTGACAACGAGAGGAAATACAGCGCCTTCGACAGGGAGCTCCTGGGTCTTTTCCTCGCCACCCGTCATTTCCGTTTCCTATTGGAAGGCCGGCGGTTCACGGCTTTCGTTGACCACAAGCCGTTGACGTTCGCCATGGCCAAGTCTTCGGAGCCATGGTCTGGTCGACAGCAGCGCCAGCTTTCTGCTATCTCGGAGTACACCACTGACATCCAGCACGTGGCCGGCAAGGACAATTTCGTCGCCGATTGCCTCTCCCGAGCAGTCACTGGGTCCGTCCACTTGGGCCTCGACTACGCGGCCATGGCTGGGGATCAGGCCGCGGACTCTGAGGTGCAGGCCTACAGGACGGCTCCCACGGCGCTGGTCATGGAAGATGTGGTGTTCGACACAGCCAACGCTACACTCCTCTGTGACATCTCCACTGGCCTGCCGCGCCCCATGGTGCCGGCTGGCTGGAGGCGTAAGGTTTTTGACGCCATACACGGGCTTTCCCACCCGGGGGGGAGAGCCTCTATCAAGCTGGTGGGGGCTAAATTCGTCTGGCCAGGCCTGCGGAAGGACGTCAGGGTCTGGGCTGCGGCCTGTGTGGCGTGCCAGCGTGCGAAAGTGACTCGTCATACCAGGGCCCCTTTGGCACCTTTCAAAGTGCCTGAGAGGCGTTTTGATCATGTGAACGTGGACCTGGTGGAGCCACTTCCCCCCTCCCGTGGTTACACCTACCTACTCACCATGGTGGACAGGACCACCAGGTGGCCAGAAGTGGTTCCCCTGTCCTCCACTACAGCAGCTGAGGTGGCCCGGGCGTTCATTATGGCTTGGGTGGCCCGTTTTGGCACACCGTCCGACCTCTCCTCGGACAGGGGTCCGCAGTTTACATCGGAGCTTTGGACTGCGGTTGCCGAGGTCCTGGGGGTAAAGGTCCACCGTACCACGGCCTATAACCCACAGAGCAACGGACTTTGCGAGCGATTTCATCGTGACATGAAGGCAGCGCTCAGGGCCAGCCTTACGGGCGCCGACTGGGCTGACCGCCTCCCGTGGGTTATGCTTGGCCTTCGCTCCGCCCCCAAGGAAGATCTTCAAGCCTCATCGGCCGAGCTGGTGTACGGCCAGCCGCTGCGCGTCCCGGGGGAGTTTCTTCCGGATGCCACGGCCCCATGGTCAGTTGCCTCCCATCGTGCGGTGTCCCGGGAAGTTGCCGACGCTTTCATCCT